AATTTTAATTTTAATGAAAATTAATGAAAATGAATTAAAATGAATTAGAATTTAATAAATCGGGAATATTTAATTTAAAAGAATCAAATTATTAGATCCTAATCTAATTGAATAGTTTAGTATAAGTATTGGAAAAAGAAGCATTTGTTGGGATGAATTTTAAAGAAGGTGAAAAATAGGGACTAATGCTAAGGAGTGTAACTAATAATAAGGAATTGTTCACAGGCAGTAACTTGTACGAAATAAAACAGTAAATATACTTTGATCAAGAAGATTTTTGTTCGAGTAGAGGAAAACGTATAAACAAGGGTATTATGAAGATTGATGGAAATGGAGACTAATATTTGAGAGGTTTTTATTTACGTGCAGGAAGAGCAATGGGATGATTTATATTGAGAGGTTCCTGTTTAGATAAAGATGATCTATAAACATGTTCAGATAAAGGATAATAAATTTATGAAAGAAAGGTCGATTTCTAGCTGAAGGGTGACTTATAGAAAAGGTTGGACCGTAGATAGGAGATGATCTATAGGTAGAAGTTTTTCTTTAGATAGGAGATAATCTGTAGGTAGAGGATGATCTATAAGTAGAGGCTGATCTGTAGGTAGAGTTTGTTCTCCAAAAAGAGCTTCATCTGCAGAAAGAGGTTCATCTACAGAAAGTGGTTCATCTACAGAAAGATGTTCATCTACAGATAAAGCTTCATCTTGAAATAGAGCTTCATCTACAGAAAGAGATTAATTTACACATAAAGCTTCATCTATAAATAGACCTTCATCTACAGAAAGAGGTTCATCTACAGATAAAGCTTCATCTATAAATAAAGATTCATCTACAGAAAGAGGTTCATCTACAAAAAAAGATTTATCTACAGATAAAGCTTCATCTGCAAATAGAGGTTCTACAGATAAAACAAACCCAAAACTTGTAGGATGATCGTTTATAATAACTTAATGAAACTGCAGCGTTGCCATTTTGATCGACTTTCTTGCAAGAGAAACCTTGAAATCAAGGTAGTGACTGACTCGTCTTATCTTGACTTTTATTTTACTTTGTTTTTCATTCACCTTGATCGAACATTATCAGTGTAATACAAATTATACGCCTATCGTCTCTCTACATCTGAATAAGTAGAAATTCAATTAATAAATACGCCAGCAATCTTTCACGTAAGAAAATAAGTATATAACTTGGTACCACTATTACGTGGTACCGTGTCTTTTTTAACTGGTACCGTAATCTTTACAAAAGTTGTAGTAAATTGGTACGATAATCTTTGGAAAGATTGTAGTAAATTGGTAGCACAATTTTTACCAAAGATTATGATAAATGCCAATGATTTTTTATAAAAGCTGTAACAACTTGGTACCACAATTAATTGGTACTTTAATCTTTATAAAGGCTTCGAAGGTACAAAAATAAAATGGTACCATAGTCTTTATGAAAACTTGAAAGGTACAACTATTAAATTGGTACCTTTAATAATTGGTACCACAATTAAACTGGTACCTTTATGAATTGGTAATTACTTGGTACCCTAATTTGTACAAAGACTTGAAAGGTACCAAAATATACTGGTACCATAATTAAATTGGTTCCATAGTTAATTGGTACCATTATTAGTACCATATTCTTTAAAAAGACTAATATTGTGGTAAATAAGTTGGTTCAAAAATTTAGACTTTATTGAAAATTCGCCAATGTGCCTAAAAGTACAATTTTCCTTGTTTTCTTTGCAACACTTCTGGGAAAATCTTTAGTAAACCTTCCATTAAATTATTTACTGTGGATTGCATAATAACCTGAACTAATGTTTGTTTTAAGTTATGCAAGCAAATTTGTGAATCATCTGGCTATGACGAAGAAGTACTTAATCATATCTCTAATTGTATACGATACCGATGCACAATTTTTTTTTTCAAAGAGATACCAGTTTCTTTTTTTTTCTTTTTTTTTAAAAGAAGGCGCTGCTCACTAAACACTGTTTTCAATTTTCAATTATCTATAATTTCGCCTGATAGAATACAAAGAAATGATGTTTAAATATAAACTTTCAAGTCTAAGCCTTCCGAGAAGTGTATTTTGTAGAATTGTTAAATTTTTTTATTGTCCCTCATTCGATTCTTGTATAATATCAAATTTTAATAATTCGTTATTAATATCTGGATATAAAGATTTTTTCCAATATGAGGAAATAATTGGTTAATCTAAGAATATGATGCAAAAAAAATCTAAAAAAAATGTAATAAAAAATCTAATAAAGTTGTGATGGAAAATCTAACAAAATTGTGGTGGAAAATTTAACAAAATTGTGGTGGAAAATTTAACAAAATTGTGATGGAAAATCTAACAAAATGATTATAAAAGATTTCAGAATATTGAAGACAAAAAAAAATCTGGGAATATGATAAGAAAAATAGTAATGAATAGATTAGGTAATTTTGAAATTGAAATAATTAATTCGACGGAATTATACAAAGGTACAAAAGAGCGAATTGAACTCAGAACTCATGCTGACAATTTAGTGTGGAAGATTGACAAATCCGCAACTAGTTTCAAATGTCGTTGGTTGCATTGTTATTAGATTTCAGAAGTCTAGTTTTAGAACGACAGGAAATAATTAGTGAATAACTGAAATAAGTCAATTGTCTAAAATATAATGGTAACGAGAAATTAGCTTTTAATTTCTGAAAATTGGGATTTTTTAGACGCACAGTTTTTCTAAGGATGTCAAATTGAGACAAAAAATCAATTTGCTATCCTTAGAGAAACTGTACGAATCAAAAGTGGTAGCAATTTTTTTCTTATTGACAAATTTACGGTATGAAAAGTGGTACCAATTTTCTTTCGGATTAAAAAATTTGTTGGACCAATGAAAAGTGGTACCAATTTTCTTTTTCATTGACAAATTTGTTGGACCAATGAATAGTGGTACCAATTTTTTTCTCATTGACAAATTTATGATACCAATGAAAAGTGGTATGGTACCAATGAAAATTGGTATGAAAATTGGTATCAATTTTTTTTCTCACTACCAAATTTGTAATACCATTGAAAATTGGTACCCAATTTTTCTTACTAACAAATTTATGGTACAAAAAGTGGTACCAATATTTTCTCATTGACAAATTTATGGTATGAAAAGTGCTACCAATTTTCTTTCTCATTGCCAAAGTTGGACCAATGAAAAATGGTACCAATTTTCTTAAAAATTTTTTTTTTTGAACGAATTTAAATTAGTACCAATTTTTTCCTCATTGTCAAATTTTTGGTACCAATGAAAAGTGGTACCAATTTTCTTTCACATTGCCAAATTTATGGTATGAAAAGTGGTACCACTTTTTTTTTCATCGACAAATTAATGGTACTCTTGAAAAGTGGTACGAATTTTTTTGTTATTACCAAATTTGTGATATCAATTTAAAAGGGGTACCAATTTTTTTCTCATTTCTAAATTTATAGTATTAAAAGTGGTATACCAATTAATTTGTTGTTACCAAATTTGTGATACCAATAAACAGTGAGACCAATGAAAATTGGTATCAATTTTTTTTCTCATTGCCAAATTTATGGTATGAAAAGTGGTACCAATTATTTCTTACTAACAAATTTATGTCACGAAAAGTGGTACCAATATTTTCTCATTGACAAATTTTTGGTACCAATGAAAAGTATTAGCAATTTTTTTTCTATTTCCAAATTTATAGTCACCATCATCAAAAATAGAAACAATAATAAAAGGAAACAATTCCACCCAATAGAAATAAAAGAAATTTTCTTTTTCCCACGTTGATTTATGCGGGGAAAATTATAATAACTTGAGAATTATCATTCTCGATTGTTGAAAATTCCGCAAGTCTTTGATCCCACTAGGACAACCGAGACGAGATTTCCAATTAAAATTTTGTTGATTGTATCTTTTTTTTCAATGGGGAAATTACGAGATTAATGTACATATGCTGCTTTTGTGTGTGTGTGTCGGGTAATTTTTTTTTCTTTTTCCTATCACGATTGTAATCGACATTTTCATCGTCCCGCGCTAGTATATATAGTGTGTGTGTGCATATTGTGTACGCATCGCACAATGGGAGGTGTATATAAGAACCTCGCGCAGAACACGTTGTAAAGTCGTCTATTGTTTGTTGTTTTTCTCCGTGGGGTTGACAAATTGTGGTACTTGTTGGATTGTTTGAAAATTATGGAAGTGGAAAATAAAAAATGAGGGATGAGAGCGTATAATTTTTCTTCTCGATCATTTTTGTATTATAATTTTTTTTTCGTGCTGTTATGGTCCTTTCTTTGGTTTATTCTTGATTCTTTGTTTTTTTCTGTTCTTTTTTGCGTTTTGTTGCTTTTTTGTTTTTTCCCTCTTTTTTTTTGGTATTTTCTTGATTTTTTGTTGTTTTCTCACTTCTTTTTCGTTTTTTCTCTTCTGTTTTGTTGCTTTTGTCTCTCTTTTTTGCTTTTTTGTTTTTTCTCCCTTCTTTTTGCTATTTTCTTGATTTTTTGTTTTTTCTCTCCGTTTTTGTTGCTTTTTTGTTTTTTTTTCTCTTCTTTTTTGTTTTTTCTTGCCTTTTAGTTTTTTCTCTCCTTTTTCTCTTTTTTCCCTCTTTTTTTGTTATTTTCTTGATTTATTGTTGTTTTCTCCCTTCTTTTTGGTTTTTTCTTACTTTTACGTTTTTTTTTCTCTCCTTTTTTTGCTTTTCTGTTGCTTTTTTGTTTTGTCCCTCTTTTTTTGCTATTTTCTTGATTTTTTGTTGTTTTCTCTCTTCTTTTTGGTTTTTTTCTTGCTTTTTCTCTCCTTTTTTGCTTTTTTGATGCTTTTTTGTCGCTTTTTTGTTTTTTCCCTCATTTTTTGCTATTTTCTTGTTTTTTCCCCCTTTTTTTTGGTTTTTTCTTGCTTTTTCGTTTGTTTCTCCCGTTTTTCGGTTTTTTTTGGTGTTTTTTGAGTTTGGCCTTTTGCGGGCAAGTTTAATGAAAAATTGTTGTTCTGTTTTCAGGTATGGACGCGTGCAGAGCGTCAAACTGCTGCCACGGGGCGAGGAGTGCCCCGTGGACGGTGGTTCCCTCGGAGAGGGAAACGAGGGTGGTTCCGGAACTGGAGGTGGCGGCGGTGGAGGCGGCAGTGGCTCGAATAGTGCCGGGGGCGCATCAGCGACGGTGGCGTTCATGGATATCAAGTCCGCAGCGAAGGCCCACGCGACAGAACACACCCTGGACGAAAGAGCCCTCACCACCCAGTACTATGAACCTCAGCATCTCCAGCACAGATTTCCCTCACATGGGTAAACAAATTCATTCATTTATTCTCTTTTCTTTTTCCTTTCCCTTTTCATTTTTCTTTTTTCTTTTCCCTTTTTCTTTTCCTTTTTCTTTCCCTTTTCTTTCTTTCTTTTCCCTTTTTCTTTTTCCTTCCCCTTTTCTTTTTTTCTTTTCCCTTTTTATTTTTTCTTTCTCTTTTCCTTTTTTTCTTTTCCCTTTTTGTTTTTTTCTTTCTCTTTCCCTTTTTTCTATTTTTTTTCCCTTTTTGTTTTTTTCTTTCTCTATTCCTTTTTTCTTTTTTTCCCTTTTTCTTTTTTTCTTTCTCTTCATTTATTTCTTTCTCTCTCTTTTTCTTTTCCATGGAATATTAAAAGTTAACATTCTCTAGTAATCCTGTTAATTTAATTAAACTAAAAAAAAAATATCTGACTCAGAGCTAATAAACTTTTACAGTTTTTCTAAGGATATCAAATTGAAACAAAAAACGAATCAAAATTGTTGCCTTGCAACAATTTTGATTTGTTTTTTGTCTCAATTTGACATCCTTAGAAAAATTGATTTTTTTTTGGTTTCGAATGAATTTTATTTAAAAGAAATAAACAATTAAGTTGGCTCTGAGAGAAATATACTTTTATTTAATTAATAAATTTATTTAATATCGTTTAATTATATTTGATTTGAATAAAAAATTTCTCTGGATAAGAGGAAAATTCCTCTTCTAATTATCCTCTCAAAACAAAAGTTTTACACTTTAATGGAGAATATTTTTATTCTCGGCACTCTTGAAGAAGTAATTTTCATTTTAGATTTAGCATTTTAGCACTTAGCAAATTATTTAGCAAGTTTAGCAAATTTAGCAAATTTCTCTAAATTTAATGCAATTCTTCAAAGTATATTATTTAACAATCATGGTTACAAATAGACAGAAAAAATTATTATTATAATGCACTAAATTAAATGTTTTTAATTAAATAAATAGAATGAGTGATTAAATTCAATTACTTTCTTTCATTAATAAATTTTATTTATTTCTATTGAATTCAATGTTTTAGTATCGAAAATTTCAAAATAATTATCTAACCGACGAAGAATAAAATTATTCTCTCTAAATTTGAATTAGTAAAAATGTTTATTAATTTTAATTTGTAACTGAGTTATTTGCTTTTGAATTAGTAAATTCTCTAATAAATTAGTAGAAATCAGTATTTATTAGTAGAAATAGTAAATTTTACTAGTAAATCAGTAGAAATTACTATTTATTAGTAGAATTATTAAATTTTACTAGTAAATCAGTAGAAGTTACTATTTATTAGTAGAATTAGTAAATTTTATTAATAAATCGGTTTTTCTATTTATTTCCTATTTATTTTCCTATTTATTAGGAAAATTTACTAATTCAGAAGCAAAAAATTAGTTACCAATTTAAATTAATAAACAATTTTACTACTTTTATTACTTTAATTTTTTTTTTACTAATTTTAAGAGTTCAACATTTGCTCGCGGAAAAAAAAGAAGAAAATTTATTTGCTTCAAAATAAAATTATAATAAATAAAATAAAATTCAAATACAATAAATTACTTGTCTGTTATCAAAAAATATTTTTATTTGTACAAAATAATCTTGAGTTAAATCAAATAAATTTTTATTTGAACCAATAATTTCAGTATTTCGAAGCAAATATATCATTTAATTTACTTAAATAACAATTCTTTTATTCAAATAGACATTTGTTTCATAATAGACGCAATTTCTGGTTTATTTGAATCAAATAAATTTTTTTCTTCAATTTTCTACTCCCAGAGAATATTTTTATTTGAATTATACATAATTTATTTAAGTGAAATAAAAGTTTATTTATCTCTGAATCTGATAAATTATTTATTTGTTTTAAATAAAAATATTATTTAGTACAAATAAAATTTTTATTTGGACGAAATTAAATTTTTATTTGAACGAAATTACATTTTTATTTGAACGAAATTAAATTTTTATTTGAACGAAATTAAATTGAATTGAATCAAATAAAATTGAATTGAATCGAATAAAATTTAATTACATCAAATAAAATTTAATTTTATCAAATAGTATTTAGTTGAAAAAAATAAAATTCATTTGAACCAAATAAAATTTATTTGATCCAAATATAATTTACTTGAAACAGATAAAGTTTATTTGAACCAATTAAAAAGTTCAGTAGACTTTGAGTCATAAATTATCTTTAAATTTAAATTTTTATCTCATTTTCTTAATTTTTTTCTTACGTTTTGTAATATTTATCTTCTTTTTAGTTTTTTTATTATTTTCTTTTATTTCTTTCGTTATTTTCCCTTTTTTTTCCTTTATGTTTTCTTTTATTTTTCCCTTTATTTTTTCCTATTTTTTCCTTTTTTCCCTTTTTTTTCCTCTATTTTTTACACAACATTTATTTTCCAAATCTCTTTTTCTCCGTTTTCTTTCTCACTCTCTCTGTCTTTCTCTTTACTTCCGCCATTCTGTTTGTACGAAAAAGAAACGTTTGGACGTTCGGTTTGCATCGATCGTCGTGATTAATTTCCCCGGTGAATTTTGAACTTTTCTTGAGCTCACGAAAAACATATTATCGTTGGTCATATATTATCAGTGGACGCGCGATGAATCAGCTTCTGCGCGAATTATTTCCACGACTCTGGAATTATATTTTTAAGGAAAAGTTTTTCGGCTCTAATTTTTCAGTCACACGTTGATTTACAGTACATAGATAAAAAATAGCAGAAAAAATATAAGAAATAAGTTGAAAACTATATTCAATTTTTTATCTGATGCAATTCTGATAGGTAGAGAGACAATTAAATTGACATATTTTCTTTTCTTTTTATTGTCATTTACAACACGATTTTAATATATATTTTTTTTTTGTACGTAACGGTCTGCAGTATTTTTCTATTCTTGCTTTTTCTGCGTGCAAAAAAAAATAATTTTCTTTACAGTTCAAAACCTGTCCTTTTCCTCCTGACAACACGAGAAACTCTATCTTTAATTATAAAATTTCTAATAAATGATAAATTTAAAAAAAAAGTGTCTTGTGTGAACGAGTGAAATTATAAAGTCCAGAAAAATACAAAAAAAAAGTGTTTTTTATTCAAAAAAGGAGAAAAAAAGTGCAAGTGAATGTTTCTTGGAAAAACCCACGCCATTTGGATTTTATATGGATGCAGTGTTTGGAATACAGTGATTCAAGGAGGATTATCAGTGTGTTAAAACTAATTTAAAAAATAATTAAAAAAAAAAAAAAAAGAAAACTAAAATATTAAAATAAACTAAAATTTAAATTCTCTAAAACTACGGATTTAATGGCGAAAAGAAAAGAGTTTCTCGTCAATCGAAAACTGAGGGATTTGACAGCAAGAATGGATTTTATGTTTCGGGGGTAAGTAAACATCCCCCCCCCCTCTCTCTCCGTTTGCTCCTAATTTTTTTCCACTGCTTCAAAAATTTTTTCCTGCAGACCGTTTGCGATACACTTTTTGCGGCGTAAATTCTAGAATTGCGACGATATTGTGAAAAAAAAGATGATTCCTAGACTCACGTTACAACAAAAATAGAGTTATAATATTCTGCTTTTCCTTGTTGACAGTAATCATCAACAAGTTGTGATAGTGATAAACTTATCGTTTTGACATTCATCAAAGTCATTGGGATTAAATTTATTGTAGAGTCGAAACTTTGTTTAACAATTTTTATTTGCGACTTGAAAATATAATCACTTTTTTGCAATATTTTTTTCATTGCAACAAAAAGTAGAGGCGAACGAAAAATTTTAAACTGAAAAAGTTAAAAAAAAATTCTACAATTAATTTTTTTAGAAGAAATTTTTAGAAATTAATATTTTTAGACGGAAGAAATATTTTCTCTAATAAAATTCTTTGTAGCAATAAAAATCTGTTTTTACTTTTAAAAAATATTTTTATTGTAGCAATAAAAATCTGTTTTTGGGTCAGAATTCGTGAAATTTTCACAGAAAATAAAAAGTATTTTTTTTAAATCGAAGTGTTGAAAAAACATTTCTTTTTGGCCTTAAGAATGTGTCCACCAAAAAACAGGAAAAAAAATTATTTTTTATAAAAGTTATTGCAAAATTAATTTTTTAGCAACTTTTTAAACAAAATTTTATTTCTCCTAAATGAATGAACCGATTTAAATGAACCAAGCGGGAATATCAAGGGGATAAAATATACTTTCGATTAGAATTAGAAAATTTCTAAAAAGTTTATTTTTTAATAATTATTTAATAAATTTTTTATAAACAATTAATTTTTTTTAATGTTCTGCGCCTTTTAAAAATTTGAAAAAAATATTAACATACACTTAAAACTATAAGAAATCAAAATCCGTTGAGAAAATTTTGGAGCGACAATTATTTTAAAAGTTATAAACAAATTATATTGGCGCGGTGTTGTGCATCAACGCTGAACTTAGTTTTTGATCATTTTCATCAATTTTTATGGTTATATAATTGAATAAAAATGTTAATTTGACAGTGTTTTGTTCATTTCGTAGTTAAAAATAATGTTTTAATTCTGAAAATCATCAAAATCGCATCTCCGTTCAATATAATTTGTTTATAACTTTTAAAATAATTGTCGCTCCAAAATTTTCTCAACGGATTTTGATTTCTTATAGTTTTAAGTGTATGTTAATATTTTTTTCAAATTTTTAAAAGGCGCAGAACATTAAAAAAAATTAATTGTTTATAAAAAATTTATTAAATAATTATTAAAAAATAAACTTTTTAGAAATTTTCTAATTCTAATCGAAAGTATATTTTATCCCCTTGATATTCCCGCTTGGTTCATTTAAATCGGTTCATTCATTTAGGAGAAATAAAATTTTGTTTAAAAAGTTGCTAAAAAATTAATTTTGCAATAACTTTTATAAAAAATAATTTTTTTTCCTGTTTTTTGGTGGACACATTCTTAAGGCCAAATAGAAATGTTTTTTTAACATTTCGATTTAAAAAAAATACTTTTTATTTTCTGTGAAAAT